TTTTGTTTTTGCTTTGTATACTGAGATTCTAGCTGTAAAGAAAAATATTTACTCTTTTGGCTCATTCATTGGAAGATAACTCTAATCAGTAGTTTGATAATCTATGGAACACTATAATTACCTGAGATTGCTTTGCAAATAAGGCAGTTTTGGGGGCATGAAACATTTGTATAAATGTATCTTTTGAAAATACTCTGGTGTTTTAAACTATTGTATGATGAAATAGATTCGATAATGTCGAAGTATTCTCTCTAGCTGACTATTTGTATTAGTCGAATGACTACAAAGGTTTCGTTCATCATATATTAATATGGTAGGAGAAACCTTGTCCATACCGCAGAAGAGACTATACTGCCTACTTCTCAATCATCCTTCCAATCTGCAGTGTATAGAGAGAACGAATCACATGTTGAATTATTCAATGAAATCAAATAATATATATGTCATAATAAAAATGCATAAGCAAACTCAAAAGTTCTATTAAAAATGATAGATGCAATGACATTCTAATCAATTTTTTCGCAGTGAGGGTGGGTGTGGGTGTGGGTGTGGGAGTGAGAATGGGGGTGGGTCTGAGTGTAGGGTGCGTGTGCGTTGTGGTATGCGGTGCTGTGGATGTAGTTGTTTCTCTTCTGTTTATCCACAACTACACCGACTCCCATACCCACATCCGTACCGGCACGTCACAGCCTCACTTGAAATCTTCAACACATGCTGAAAATACAATCTTCATTGCTCTTCTGGTAAATTTCTATGAGAAATTTGGTATACATAGGATCTTATAACAGCTTCCTGGATCTGATATCCGATTGTTCGACGAGATTTTGTATAGATTATTAACTTTCTTATACAGATTAATCATCATGCATGTTTATACTCAGCATGTTCGATTGAAAAGACATAGTTGTATTATTTGTTTTCTTGGACGAACTCATGATTTTGCATCTTTCAGTGTAGTTTAACACAACTATTTTGTTACTTGAAGCACGTTGAAAGACGGAACTAGGGGTGTGGTTGTGGGTGTGGCAGTGGATAGTGTGTGGGTGTCGATGTCGGTGTCAGTGTGGCATGGGGAAAGGGACATTTCACACTAACTTTTCATTACGATCTCCAGTAACATGTGTTCGGTACGATCACCTGACATAAGAAAAAAGACAGTGTTCGGAATGACAAAAATACAAACAAAAATTCAAAAAAAGGAGGGAATTCGTAATGAAAGTTGTCCAGATGATCGTAACGAACAGCCACGGTCGAGTTTGACAGATAAAAACTTAAAATTTGACTGGAGTTCGGATTGAAAATGATCTGAAGATCATAACAATAAAGGCGTTGAGATCGTAATGAAAGCTAAAGCAAATAAGACAGTGAATGTTTGGAGATCATAACGAAAATTGCAGGGAACTCTTAATGAAAAAAGACAGATTGTTCGAAACTGTGTTCATGTTTGCTTTTCTTTGGGAGATGTTAAGTGACTCATTAGTTTTCATTATAGGGTGTGGTGTGGGTGTGGGGTGTGAGTGTGGAATGTGGTTGTGGGGTGTGGGTGTGGGGTGACATGAGTGTTCTTTTCGTTAACACTCACACACCCAAACCCACACCCACACCGACACCACCCACACCCTCTACAAATTACAGGAATTTCTTTTTATACAAAAATGTAAGCTCAATAAAATCTTACGACCTCTACACATTGCAGAAATTTTCCTAAAAGCAAAACTATTGTTAATTAAAGTCTTTTAAAAAATTTTAACTCTTATATTATTTTTCATCCGTCAAATTTTAAAAAAAACAATTCCTATGAAATTCAATCGTTTTCTATAACATAAAAAAGTTTCAATTTTATGGTTAGTCCAAAATTTAAAACTTAATTTAATTCATGCTCGCAAATGAGAAGTAATCCCTTTAGAATAATAGAATAATGTTTATTTGTATCAATTCTAATAATCAGAAAAACAAAGAAATGATTTCTTTTCAAAGAATTTCAATTTGTCTATTGAAGATTAAATGAAAGAATTTTTGAAAAAAAATCGTTTTAATGAACTACGTGAATCGATTTCAATCATTTGACTATTATTTCAACAACGTTTTCGTTCAACTTAATTCATTAAAAGTTCTTTGAAAAAGAAAAATCGAAGTTCTTTTTACATGAGAATTCTTCTACTTGAAATTTATGAAGATTTCGCTGATCAAAGAAATTGATATTTTTTGTAATTGCCTTAATGATTTGTCTATTTCTTTTTCTTAATTCTCATTTGATAAATTAAATAGATTTGATCACCTTTTAGAATTGTAAGAAGATATTCATTTCTCCAATCAAAATCACTTGTTGCTTTATCCAAGATCAATATCGAAGCTTTTCTTAATAAAATTCGAATTAATGCAAAACATTGTTTTTGCTCCTCTATTGAATTCAATTTTAGTTTCATCAACTAATCTTTGGTATTTCTTCAAGAGTAACACAAAAAGAAAGAAAAATGGTTACATTTAGAAGTTGAAGCATAAATTGATGAGTATTGACTTGTTCAATATCTGTGAGATTTTCATAACAATGAGTTTCCGAAAAGAAAATTTTCTCAGCGTTACAAGAGGACTGAGAAAAGGAGGAATTTTTATTAATTCTTTTTAAACATCTGTCATTTGTTTTTCATATTGTTGAAGATAAAATTGCTCTTAATTGACTAATTATTTGATCAACTATTGTTCAATAATAACGAAAAGCATATGAAATGATTGTTGATTTTCCTAAAATGATTTGAATATTTGAAAAGAAAATGAGAAAATTGAGGGATAAAAATAGAATCACTTCCACTACCATAATGTGTAATTTATCCAAAACAAACGATCAAATGAAAATTTTCAAAAATCAATCAATGTTTTCCGTGTTGGATAACCAAATAAAATACTGTCATTCGATTTCATATCTTTCGTTTTTTTTTCAATTGAAAAACAATTTTCATCTTCATCATTATTTTAGAACAAAAACAGAAAAATTTCTTCTTCAAAAGAGTTCAACCAATGATTTCTTTTTCAACTAGAATCCTGCGGAACAGTCCCGAATCCCGAAAAATCCCGTTTGTCCCGTCCCGTGAGACAAACGGAATTGGAACAATACAGAAAAAAACGAATGGCCCGAATTTTCTAATTAGTATACGAAAATATATTCACTTTAGAATTTTTTTACAACAAATATGATCGTAATTAACTAAGTAACAGGAAAAAAGAATACAAGAAATGTTGAAAGATATATTTAAAACTGCGTATTCATTATCTTTCTCAGATGCTCTCTCATTCACTTCTTGATTTTCTGTCGTCAATTTAATCCTTTATTTGTTTTTGCAGATGCTGAATAAAGAGTAACAAGAACAGACAAAGTTATTACTTTCTATCTCTCAAAATTGATATAAAATACTTTTATTCATTTACAAATCAACAAAACGTACGTGTTTTTCCCAGTTGAGATAGTATACAATGAAATTCATTTTATCCTTTATCAATATGTCAGTGTGAACTGTTTTAGTTCAAATCGACAGTGTCGACAATGAATCAAGTGAATTTGGATGTAACTTATCCTAACTGTTTTTACCTAATAATTGTAGTGAGAAGACGTTTTATTTCCATCGACAGAAAGACACAACAGCTATATATTATTTTTGCTCAACAGGACACGCAGAATTTTATGGAACAACTCGAAAAATGTCGGCACGGGACAATAAAAAAGTTTGTTCCGCAGGTCTCTAATAATACGCCAAATAGATGTTACCAAGTGTTGCAAGACATTTTTCAAATCAATAGGGAGTATGTCGTAGTCAGCACAAATTGATTTCTGTAACAACTGTTTTTCAGACTTATTCAAAATTCAGATATTGCTCTTTCAAACAAAAAAATAATGTTCGATTCGACGTTCTGCTACTAAGAAATAAAGTCTGATATTTTTGCAAAGACTTTTCGATCACATATTAGACAATATAGTATGAAAAAACAATTGTCCATAAAAAAACTGAATAATGGTGGATTATGATCCATTGTTTTACAAAGTAATTTGATCAGGTCATGATATGAACATGCAACAATTATAATCAGTTTTTAATTATCAAACTGATGGCGACAGATTATATGTAGGAATAGTTGGTGGTAATTCATGAATATTATAACTTATTACAATAGATTATTGATACACGTAGCGCACTGTTTTATTTTTGCATCAGTAGTTGTTGATAACTAGGATGAAAAACAGAGAAAAAAAAACGAACGACAGAAGAAAGCTATGAGGTAAAAGTTTATGAGAAAGCACGGGAGATTAGAAAAAAACATACGAAAAAAGGCGCTCAGAGACTAAGAAAATATGTGTAAAGAAGAAAAAGTTCTGGATCTAGCAATGAATAGATAAAAGAAGGACAACGAAGTCAGAAAAGTCTTTCAGCGAGTTGATGGTTTCCTCCGCAGAGAAAATCGTTCTTCGAATATTTTTCAGATACTCAATAGTTTTCGAAAATTTCCTTAGATCCAAAAAATTCTTTTTCATGCGTGTTCGTGCACATGGGTAGGTTCTGTATCTCTGGAAGGCAAGTAGCGACATTGCATTAGGAAAAGGAACAAAAAGAAAAGAGAAGAAGATGAATAGTGCGTGTTATATCATGAATACAGATAAAGCGAAAGTTCGCAAGAAAAGTAGTAAGATAGATAATCAGCATAAACAAGAGTAGACGATACTGATAGTACGAAAAAGATACCAATGACTCTTTCAGAACTTTAATGAAAAGAAAAGAAAGAAGAAAGGTGGAAGATCTTATCGATGCATACATAAATCAACCCAGATTCGTTTGAAAAATTGTAAAATTTTTCCTAGGAGGGAAAACTATTTTTCAAAAAAATTTCCCCAAGTGCTAATAAACTTTTAAGAATTTTCCCGAACGGCCATTCGCGCACACGGGTAGATTCTGCAAATCTGATCACAACTTACTAAACTAGTTATTAAATCTCTCAGATTTTCTTTTAAACAAATGATTAAACTATTATGTTTTACACCGAATATGTATACAATCAAATTTCGTCGTATAGCAATTCAGCTTGCAGAATATGAATCAATTGAACAAAGCGAATCATTTCGATTAGTATCTGATACTAATAATATAAAAAATATGACACTCGAAAGACGTTGTACATTACGACAAATTCAGTTACTGATTGCTTTATGTCCTCGTCTAGAATCTTTCACAACTGAAATGAATAGAAAAGAATTTTTGTCAATTATACGATTTTTATTATCAGAAAACAACGCCAATACTCGTCATTTATATTTTTCATATGTTTTAAATGCATCTGAGATATCCTTACGAGAATTGCAGAGATTCATTAAATTAGAAGGATTATTTGATGATTATAAAATTGATTATATCAATTAGAAATTGTATTGGTGGTGGTAAAATTCTGTTATTAAAAAAATATTGTATCTTTATATATACTTATATTTAAATCAATGAAAGAATGATTGTTTAAATACTTTTTTAAAGATAAATAATTGTCAGTAAAAACTCAGGAAAGTAGTACGACTGCAAGGCTTGTAAATAACATTAGAATATGAATGACTTTCGTACAAAACTGACGGAGTTTCCTCATAATTAATATTACTCCAAGAATCTCATTTCATCTTTGAACATTAGTTTGGTATCCTCGGATGCAGTTTCATTTTTCTACGAAGTCATATAAAGCATCATATACTCATCTATTAGATAGATATTCAGGTCATAAACATACATTTGATGTTCTTCTTTGTTACAGAAAATAACTCTTGAATTTCTGCAGTGGCTTTCTGAAAAGTTTAATCATCCTGTTCAATCCTTACAACTGCAAGAAATGATGTCGCGCATAAGAGTAATATGCCTAAAAATAAAAAAATTTGATTCATTCTCTCTTCTTCAAACTTAGACGAGAGTAGCTAAGGGGCCGATATTCACCAAGTTTCTCATAAGATTCAATACTTTTAAACTTCTTCACAGAGGATACACTCAAATATGTTCTCTCGTGAGTATTTTGTCGAGGTCTAATGTTTAATATCACCAAATATTTTTTGTACAAAACTGTTACTCAATAATAAATCTACCATTTCTTAGAACAATAGAAATCAATAATCCAACGTCATATTTATACTTTCAATGTTCCTCAATTGATTCTAATTTATTACAATGTCGAATTCAACTAATGAACTAATTGTAAATCTAAATAGTATCGCATTCTGGATAAATCGTATTAGTCCACTTGTTACCATTATTTTTGGAACATTTGGAAATTTCTTCAGTATTATTATATTTACTGGTCGTTCACTGCGTACTAATCCATGTTCAATGTACTTTCTAGCCGGTTCGATCGCCAATTTCTTTGTTATTTGTGTAGCCCTACTTACGCGTTATCTTGCAACTAGTTGGAATATAGATCCATCAGCTACGAACATGGTCTGGTGTAAAATACGTTACTTTCTTATATATCCTCCGCTTAGTCTGGTTTTATGGTTTACCGTTCTTGCCAGTATCGATCGATTTCTCTCAAGTTCACATGATGTACGATTTCGTCAATTAAGCACTTTGTCAATAGCGCGAAAGATTATTATACTTACTACTGTATTCATGTTTTTAATTAACATACACGTTTTTGTTTTTGCCAGATCTGAAAAGTTGATCGATGGTACATTCACTTGTACTATCCTTCCAAATGAATACTTAGTTTTCTTCAACATTTTTGTTCCTATCTTTTCTTGTATTTTACCTCTTATACTAATGGGTATTTTCGGTATTTTGACAATCGTCAATGTTCGTATGGTACACAATAGTGTCGCTCCACAAGACAACAATATACGAAATGGGCGTTTGCGATCACATGATCGTCAACTAATTATAATGCTTTTATGTCAAGTGATAATCACCACTATAATCGTAGCTCCTTGGTCTCTAATTAATATGTACAGTGCAATCGGTATAACTATACTTAAACGCCAGTTGTCACCATCCAATCTGGCTATTTATAATTTTGCATTTAATCTCTCTCGAATGTTATATTATATGAATCCTGCTCTTGGATTCTACATTTATACTCTTTCGGGTGCTAGATTTCGTATCGAAATGAAACATTGTATTCAAGATGCATTAAAATTCGTTTTAACACTAGACGGTCTAGTACACTATCTTCCTATAAGAATTCAGCGAGCATTATTGATAGGGGTGGGAAGTTACCGTTACCGTTCCCGGGAACTGGGAACTTTTCCGTTCCCGCGTTCCCGGGAACTGGGAACTTTTTCGTTCCCGCGTTCCCGGGAACTAAGAACTTTTTCGTTCCCGCGTTCCCGGGAACTAAGAACTTTTTCGTTCTCGCGTTCCCGGGGACGGTAACGCCACGGTGCCCGCTCCCGGGGACGC